TCCAATCAAGCCTGTGTAAAAGGGCTCTAGGGTTTAGGGTTTTTGGGTTTCGGGTATGGTATTCAGGGGTTTAGGGTTTAGGCCTTTGAGTTTAGGGTTTATGGGTTTAGGGTTTACGGTTCAGGATGTAGGCTTTAGGGTTCGGGATTCACAGGTTACGGTTGAGGGTTTGGGGTTGAGGGAAACTCTTCCGAACCCGAATGGAGGGAGCCTGAATGATTAGACAAAGGTGTTCGGGTACGTTGACTCCCTAAACCCTAAGAATCTGACTTAGTCACTCTTTTCAGTGCGAGCCTTCAATGCCAAGACCCTTCGCACCCCAAGCGCTGAAACCTCGCTGAAACTCAAGAAAACCTCAAAACCTTCCTGAACAAATCCTACGAGACCCCGCTTGAAATCTTCTTGTAACTTCAGTTAACAGGTGAAGCCATTGTTGAATCCTAAAGCCCACAAAAGATAGACCCTTTGGGAAGCCTTGCAGAACTGCATTGAAGACCTTTAAAAAGAGTTTAGGGTTTAGGGTTTTGCTACTCTACACCCTACAGAAAGCAACAAAACCCATCTCTCTGAAACACCAAAAGCACTCCTTCGAGAGCTCTTCCCGTAGCTGCTCGGGCCTTACGACTCCGCCGGATGCCGGTTTGCTTCAAGAAGCTCAAGGTTAACTTCTCACGACGCTATGAATATATGTGAGGTCGTAGTACTGTGAGTATTGTAATTGTGATTGCAAGTACTCATAACCGTAAGTATTACTACTATGATAAATACTATTATTAGTACGACGATCATTGCGAACCCTAAACCCTAAACCGTAAACCCTAAACCCTAAACCTAAACCGCATTATTCTTGATGATATTGTCATTATCGCTACTATTCAGCGTTTTGGAGTTGGGGCCTCTGGGCTCAAGGGAAGATTCTTCGGGTCCTAGGCGGGTCCGGCTCTGTTTAGGGTTTAGTGTTGAGGGTTTGGGGTTTAGGGTTAGGGTTTAGGGTTCAGGGTTTAGGGTTTTGGGTTTTGGGTTCAGGGGGTACAGGCCCTAAAAAAACCCTGTCTTAAAACCTAAACCCTAAATGCTTTGTTCTGGTGGAACTTACTTATCTTCGCAAAGAAGCCACCGGACTTTGGGGGGGTCGCAGATTGAAGTTGTGTGGCTGTTTGGGGTTCGAGCGTGTTCTGAGCTGCTCACGGAGGTCTTTCAAACGGTTTAGGCTGTTCCGGGTTTAGGGTTTAGGCTGTTCAGGGTTTAGGATTTGGGGTTCTTTGAGCATACTTGCTCCGTTACTTGAAATCCGGTTGGCTGCTATGCAACTGGAAGGTCGCGCTACTCGAAAGAAGCCTATTGTCTTTAAACTGCTTTCGCATTTCTAGAAAGTGTTTTTTAGGTTCGTGCATGTAGCACCCAAACTACATTCAGGGACATTCCTACATGTAGGCCAGTACAACTGGGTTCTGCTCTCCCCCCTGCTCAACCAAAGTTCGACTGAGAGCCAAGTTGCTTTCTCACTTTTCCCATGCCGCCCTGCTTCAGCAATGACATCGCGCATGCACTGCATAAAGCTGCGCGGCACCATCCTTCGAGCCGACCAGCATGCTCTGCATGCTCTCCCCACAGCTGTGGAGGCTCAGGCTCAGGGCAGCCGCATCCAAAGTCGCAGCGGTTTCGGGAGCAGGGGCGGCAGCGCGCCGGTCCAGAGCCATCAGCTTCCTTCCAAATGCAACGATACGGAGGTCCTCGGTGATCGAGGCACTGGCGTAGGCCTGCCCGAGGCCCTCGATGTGCCCCACGGGTTGCCCGGTTCGGCCGTCCACCCAACCTTAGATGCAGAGCAAGGGATTTAGGGTTTAGGGTTTCGGCCTTAGGATTTAGGGTACAACATCAGCAGATGTCCGATGGAGGGACTGTGCCTCCCTTGCAAACACGCAACCCCAAACTTTCGCGGATGTACTTAGGGCACTTACCAAGTCCCTTCAGCCCTCAAGGATGCCCTGCACCCTTCAGCAAATTCATCTGCTTTGCTGTTGGTGTCATTGTCTTTGGGTTCAGGGCTTAGGCTTTAGGGTTTAGGCATGGGACTTAAGGCTTAGGGTTCGGGATGTAAGGTTTAGGGCTTAGGATTTAAAGGGTTTAAGGTCTAGGGCATGGGACTTAAGGTTTAAGGTTCGGGATATAAGGTTTAGGGCTTAGGGCGCGTACTCATTGCCATAGTCATACGTGACTAGGAAGAGCGGGAGGAGAAAGGAAGTACTGCGCTCGCAACCAGTATCATACCTGAGTGAAGTCTCGCGTCTGCTGTTGCTTGTGTGCTTCCTCATCTGCAGCTCAGCCAAAAAGACAGCAAGTAGCACCAGTCGTGGTCGTGGGGGGGTGTTGTCGTGAACTTTTCTACCTTGTTGTTGCGCCGTCGGCGCTGCCGCCGTTGTTGATGACGACAGTGCTCTTGCTGCTGCGGCAGCAGCAGCGTCCGCTGTCATTGCCGGTGCAGTTGCTGCTAGGCTCCAAAACCCTGATCCCAAACCCGAACCCCAAGAATTCCTGAGAGCAAACGCTGAAACAACACTGATAGAACCCCTGTAGCACCCTTACAGGAAGCCTTTAAAAGGAACCTTGGGCCCTAAACACCACATCCTCCCCCAAATCCCAGGCCGAGATGCAGAGCCCCTCGGAGTGGCCAACCACCAGACAACCTGGGCTTAGGCTTTAGGGTTCATGTCGAAGAAAAAGAACTCGTTTCAAGCCACCTAGGCGGCAAAGAGGGCACACTTCTTCGTGTGTTAACTAACAAATTGTGGCAACAAGCCACACTTATTGCTTTAAAGCTCTGTCAGGTAGGAAGACCCTGTGATTCCAGTACCAAGACCCACGTCATGTTACATGAACCCCTCACACCATAAACCCTACACCCTAACTAAACCCTCGACCGTAAACCCCGAAGTTCTTGATAAAGAAGAAATCCCTAAACCCTCAACCCGAAACCCTAAACCCTTAAACCCTAAACCCTAGACCCTGAACCCTAAACCCTTAAACCCTGAACCCTAATTCCTAAACACTAAACCCTAAACTCTAAACCCCTAAACCCGTAAACCCCGAACCCTAAACCCCTGAATCCTGAACCCTAAGCCCCTAAACCCCGAACCTGGCAGCCCGAGGAGGAGCAGCGCGTGAGGTGTCGAATCCAGGTGCCCGGGCACACGCAGCAGGTCCAGAGAGCTCCAGCCTGGGTGGATGTAGGCGTTTAGGAGTTTGGGGAGTTTAGGGTTTAGGGTTTTAGGGTTTCGGGTTTAGGGTTTAGGGGTGTAGGGGTTCAGGGTTTGGGGTTTAGGGTTTAGGGTTAGGGTCTAGGAGTTTAGGGGTTTAGGGCTTAGGGTTTAGGAGTTTGAGGGTTTACGGTTTAGGAGTTTGGGGGTTTAGGGTTTAGGGTGTAGGAGTCTAGGAGTTTAGGGGTTTAGGGTTTAGGGTGTAGGGGTTTAGGAGTTTGGGGGTTTACGGTTTAGGGTTTAGGGTTTAGGAGTTTGGGGGTTTAGGAGTTTAGGGTTTATAGGAGTTTAGGAGTTTGGGGGTTTGGAGTTTTGGGTTAAGAGTTTAGAGTTTAGGCGTTTAGGAGTTTAGGGTTTATAGGAGTTCAGGGTTTAAGGGTTTAGGGGTTTCGGGTTTAGGGTTTAGGGGATTAGGGGTTTCGGGTTTAGGGTTTACGGGATTAGGGTTTAGGGGTTTAGGGTTTGAGGGAGATTTGGTGTAGAGTTGTAGAGTCTAGAGCTTAAGGTTTAGGGTTTTGAGTGTAATGGTTTGGGACCTAAGCTTTAGGGCCAGGGGTTGCGTTGAGGATTTTGGTATTGAGTTTAGGATTTAGAGCTTACGGGTTTCGGGTGTGGGTTTAGGGCAAGGCTTAAAGTTAGAGGTTTAGGGGTTAGGGATGTTTAGGGTTTAGGGAAAGGCTTCAGGGGACAAAGCAGCAAGGAGTGGGATGTAGGCGATGAAAACCACCGAGCTGGAAGACGGGATTCCTGATGCCTGGGCCCGAACCTCAAACCCCACCTCCCGAGCCTGGGTGTAGGAGTTTAGGAGTTTAGGGTTTAGGGTTTAAACCTCTCTAAAACTCTTACAGATTCGTTTGAGAGCCCTTAATAGATTGGTCGGAAAGTTTGCAGCTTCAGAGCTCTGCTGCCGAGACCCCGGAAAAGTCGAAGATACAGCCCTCAAAAACAACCTAAAGACCTTACGGTTTAGGGCGGTTTAGGGTTTAGGGTTTATTGTTTACGATATTGAATTTACCTGAAAACCCACAGCTGTAAAAAACCCTGAACTCCAGACCCAAGGCACCGTAGAGTTGAGATCCCATGCCTTCACAGTCCCGGCGGTGCCACCACTGCAAAGGCAGCTCTCCTCTTGCCAGCTGAGTGCCATCACCTCTGGCGAGCTCAAGATTTGGGGTTTAGGGTTTTGGGCCTAGGCCCTAAACCCTCAACATTGAGGTTTTCAGGACTTGGGCATTTAGTGCTTCTGGGCCTGGGTGTAAGGCTTGTGGGCGCAAGTGGATCTAAAGTTTCAGGGGTGTGGGGTTTGGTGTTTCTGGGGTTAGCTCGTGAGGTTAAGGGTTAAGGGTTTCGGGCTTCAGATTGATGGTGGGCTGCTCGCGATTCTCGCGAAACTTCTTGAGCCCGAAAGCCCTGAAGCCTGAATTCCCGTATCCCTTTCATGAAGACAGGCCTTTCAAAGTAAAGAAACAACAACAATAAAACTGTTGATAAAAAAAAACCTAGAACCTGAAACACGGACCCGCCTCCTGCATGCTGTGCGGGTTGGAGGCAGAAAATGCCGGTGGCCCCTCCTGCAGACCTGAGCTTCGTTCATTCCAAAAGCCCGAAACACAAAACATCCTAAAACAGCAAGCCAACCAAACCCAGTCAAGAACAAGTCTTGGGCCTCTAGATGCAGCCGAAAACAACAAGTCTGGTACCTCTAGATGCCGCCGAATCGAGCCGAGACAGGTTGTAGATGGAAGGGTTTCATAGTCGTTGAAACTTTGGACCGGAATCACGGCCAGGGCGTGCAACATTGTGCAACAGGAGCGCACTATCAACTTGCGGGTATAGGTTTTTTTTTGCCGGGGATGCGGCGGCGGGACGCAGGACGCGGGACGCAGGACGTGGGACGCGGGACGCAGGACGCGGGACGCGGGAAGCGGGACGCGAGACGCAGGATGTGGGACGCGGCGGAGCGCAGGACAGTGGGTCTATGGACTACATATCTATCTATCTATCTATCTATCTATTCAGATATCTATCTATCCATCTATCCATCCATCCATGCATCCATCCATCTATCTATCTATCTATCTACACCCGAATCGCGAAAGGAGGGGTCTGTTAAAATTGTTGATGAACCGAAGTCGCCGAATGAGGCGGTGTGTTCAAGATAGATGATAATATGACATGTATATATATATATAGCAAAATTGAACCGAAATCGCTAAAGGGGGGTGTCTTTAAGATATATGACGGACCGGAATCGCCGAAAGAGGGGGCGTGTTTAAGATCATGATGAGCCGGAATCGCCAAATGATGGGGGCCGTGTTTTAGACATATGATGACTGGAATCGTCAGAGGAGAAGGCGTGTTTAAGCTCCATGATGAAACGGAATGGCCAAATGAGGGGGTGTGTTTAAGATTTATGATGAACCGGCATCGCCAAATGAGGGGCCGCGTTTAGGATTTATGATGAACCCGAATCGCCTAATGAGGGGGCGTGTTTAAAATGCATGGTGAGCCGAAAGCGCCAAATGAGGGGGAGCGTCTAAGATATATGAACCGAAGGGGCGTGTTTAAGATCTATCATGAAATCGCCAAATGTGGGGGGGGGGGTGTTTCAGATATATGATGAACCGAAATTACGCCAGAAGAAGGGGGGCGTTTGAGACCTATGCATGATGACCCGACATCGAAACATGAGGGGGCGTGTTGAAGATGCAAGATGAGCTCAAATCGCCAAAGGAGGGGTCTGTTTAAAATATATGGTGAACCGGAATCGCCAAATGAAGGGCATGTTTTAGGTACATGGTGCACCGGAATCGTCAAATGAGGGGGCGTGTTTACGATGCATGGTGAGCCGAAATCGCCAAATGAGGGGGCGTGTCTAAGATATGTGACGAGCCGGAATCGCCAAAAGAGGGGGCGTGTTTAAGATGCATGGTGAGACGAAATCGCCAAATAAGGGGGCATGTCTAAGAGTCATGACGAACCGGAATCGCCAGAAGAGGTGGCGCGTTTAAGATCCATTATATACGATAATATATATATATATATATATACATATATATACATATATAATATATATATATACACACACACATGCATACATAAACACCTATGACATTAGTATGATATATATATATATATATGTGTGTGTGTGTGCGCATATATATATATATATGCGCACACATTATCTCCGTATGTGTGTATATATATATATACACACACATCTTGTACATACAGACACACAGACACACATGTATATATACATATAATGAACCGGGATCGCCAAATGAGGGGGCGTGCTGAAGATCCATGCTGAACCGGAAACGCCACATGATGTGCTTCTTGTTGTTGTTGTTGTTGCTGTTGTTGTTGTTGTTGTTGCTGTTGCTGCGGCTGTTGCTGTTGGTGGTGTTGTTGGTGTTGTTGGTGTGGTTGCTGGTGTGTTGTTGGTTTGTTGCCGCGGGACCGCACGCCGCACGTCGCGGCCCACGGGCTGTTACGCGCGGCCGCACCCCACGAGCAGCGGGACGCGGGACGTGGGGCGCAGAACGCAGGACGCGGGACGCGGAGTCGGGAGGACGCACGAGAACTAACATTATGCAACTTGCAGCAGACGTGCACTCAACAATAATTTTGCCTCGCACATTATCGGTTGGCGCGCTGGCACAGGCAAATACATGTTCACCAGCACGCGGTTGATATGCCAGATCGGCTGATAATTATGAACCTTAAGGCCCTAAACCCTAAACCCCATAAGCCGCGTAGACTGGTTCATTCTTTTTGAATAAACGGTGCCGACCGACAAAAATGCAACGCCTGCAAACCTACTGGCCCCTCAGTCTGATTTGCATAATCTAGGCTCCTCGGCGTTCAAGAATCCACAAGAACCTGTGCCTGAAACCCCCAACCCTAAAGCCTAAACCCTAAACCCACAAAAAAAGGAACAACCTAAGCCTAAACCCTAAACCTGCAACCCCTCGGCCCTGAAGCCTACAACCCGCCATACCCCGAAATGACCTCCATCCGGGCGAACTCGAGACACCGCTACGGTATCCTTCCAAGCTTTGCTTAGGGATTAGGGTTTAGGGCTTAGGGTTTAAGGTTAGGGTTTAGGGTTTAGGGCTTAGGGTTTAGGCTTTGGTTGTTCCGTTTTTGGGTGGGTGAGGGTTTTGGGTATGCAAGGTTCTTTCAAGGGCAATACACCCTCCTGAACTCACGGATCCTGGTTTAGGGCTTAGGGTTTGCCGTAGAATGGCGCAAAAGCGGAAATATCTTGCGACATTGGACATTCGGGTGCATCATAAGCCCGACAATGGAAGGCTTTTCTTTGTCTTTGCCACCCCACGCCGTCTGAGGTGACCAAACCGCCCAAACCTGTTCCTTTTAGGGCAGGGCAGGGCAGGGCAGAGGGCAGGAGGGGCAGAGGAGGGCAAGAAGGAGGGGAGAGCAGTGGCAGCAGGGAAGGCCCTGTAAAATCTGCTCGTCGCAAGCTCTCAAGGCCCCCCTCAAAGGTAAATTTCTGGGGGGGCCCAAATGGCTGAGGGTGGCCAGGGTGAAGCTTGAAAGGGACCAGGATGGTCCCGAGAGACTCTGCTCTACCGGGCGGCGCGCAGGCGGATTGGTTCGCTCTGCGCCATGGAGGCTGAGGGGCTTAAGCGCCGCTCACCCAAGGAGGTGGGCGGCCTAGGGTTTCGGGTATAGAGTTTAAGGTTTACGATGGTTAGCTCACTTTTTGCGTTCTCTGCACCTGCTCTCTATCACACCATATAGAGTTTCCAGTCTAGTCTGGATGGTTTTCAAGCTTGTGTTTCACCATGGAGACTTACTCTACGCGGTCGTGAGTTTCTATAGTGTAAAGAAAGCTGAATGATTTAAACTGGGCTTTTGAGTGGTTCCATGCCAGAACTTTACGAAGGAACCCAAACAGTGCTATCTCTCATTTTTCAGGAACCTATATTACCTATATGTTTATTCTGGTTAGGCTCGGGACATTGAAGCTTCTGCATAGCCGGTATGAGCTTACGGTTAAACTGCACTGCAATTATCTTGTGATGATAAATTAGGCTCGCAGGTAACTGCTGAATAAGAAGAGTGCCCCTTTGTCCTTGCTACTCATTTCCCCAAATGAAGAAAGGAAGGTGCTACTTACTCGGGGTCCACTCCTGAAACAAACCAAGGGGGATCAGATTCGGGCCAATGCGGTTTAGGGCCTAGGGCCTAGGGCTAAGGGCTCAAGAGCCTAAGAGAACCCTACACCCTAAACCCGCTTAAGGGTTCCGGCTGTCGCGGCTTTGGGTGGACGGGCCTCAAAAGCAAACCTGGCCTGCGAAATACATTTTTGACCTGAGCCAGAACGAGAATCTACCTTCTGTCTGTAGGCCCCCTAATTCTTTAGGGCTTAAGGTTTAGAGTTTAAGGTGTAGGGTTTAGGGTCCGGGTAGTTCTACCGTGCAATTACAAAGAAGACGACTAGCACCCGTACATTCTGAACTAACCCCAACTACCCTGCAACTTACCCTAAACCCTATAAACCGCTTAGGACCCAGGACCTTAACCCTGCAGTCGCGGAGCGCAGTAGGCTCAACGTTTGCTAGGGCTGCGACAGGCTATAGAACTTCCATCCCGGGTTCATGGAGCTAGGTTGGGGGTCTAGGGTCTTTGTTCGCCGTTCAAGCTCCCCGGGACGCCGCGCAGAATGCCCATGGCAACTACCACAATAGCCAGACACACAGGAATAACAACGGCAACAGGAGTAGCAGCACTCATCATTGTCATTGTGACCCCCCCCTAAAACCTTGACCCCTAAACCCTGATGCAGTCTTGCGGATGGCTTTGTTTGGGGGCCTCTAACACCCAGCAATGGCATCACAGGCACCCCTAAACCTAAGCTGTAAAGTTCTAAACCTGAAAAGCAAGTGAAATCCCAAAAACACAAGAAAAACTCCACCATAAACTTCTCATCCCCCCCCCCCCCGNNAAAAAAAAAAAAAAAAAACTTTAGCCTGTCTTGCATGTGCTTCTGAATTGGCGACGAATTTCAATGTCGGCCCCCCTTTAAACGCTTGACCCCAGACGGGAACCTGACCCTAAACCCTCTAAATCCCCAAAGTCGGCAAAGTCCTTCGAAATGGAGGCAGCCAGTTCCGCGTCACC